CCTGCTTATTTCCCAGAAAAACAAACTTGCCTATTTTGCAGCTGACTGCTGCCACCCATCACCTCTGGGCGCGCTAGAAAGCCCGTAGGTTTAGTCTTAGGGGAGTTCCGGTGGTCTCCGACACTCCTCATTTTTTCTCAGTAGTTATTCATAACAGATCCATGGTCTGGCAATTGTTCTTTGATGCGATCTTATTTTTCAATTCGTACTGTTCTGTATCGGAAGGAATTGTCAACGGATTAAAGCCATTTTTAAATTCAACCAATTTACCCCTTGCCGCCCATGACAGAATGCTTACTAAGCTTAGGTGTTCTACCGAGCCAGATTTGTATAAATGAGGTGACCAAGACCCATTGAAACTAGGCCCTTTGGTGTTACGACAAATCCAGTTCTTGGCCTTGCTACCAGTTGACCACTTTTTGGAAATGAACCAGGTAGGATTGATGCTTTGCCCGGGGAGGAGGGATTTGGGAAGCAGAATAACTTACCAGCGTAGTAACTATCATTTAGTATTTCCATGCAGTACTTATCTTTCGTGTTGTTAGTTTTCAGTGATGGCTTTGGTTTCTACTTCGTATGCTCAACGTCTTTCACAAATCCAACCGAACATGTTGCTAGTCTTCAGCCGTGAAAGGGCATTGCAAAGTCATTATTGAAATGACTCGTAAGTTGAATAAGTATTTTTCGATAGAGACTCAGTAAGCATGGTGTTTCAGGCATCGGATTGCTTTACTAGTTCCATGCGTGAGTTTTCTTCGGCGCACGCTTTCGCAGTATACAGCATATTTAAACGCTTGCAGTGCTTCTGCTACGGATTTGCCAGCACCGCCAGCCAACCACAGTCTTTGGGTCTATATTGATCACAAAAAGTGTGAAACTCACCTACTGCGGATTCTTGATAACTCATAGGGTAAAGGCACGTTTTTGAAATCTACTTGTGTGCCTTTACATGTCACTGCGCTCGCTTTTAGTTTTATTATTGTGCGCACGCATACGTACTTCAGTCTGCACATTACCCCATTGGTTGAATCACCTCGGAGTAAAAACATTTTCATGTACTTGAGCACGCATTTTTGGATTTGCTCTACCACCATTTATTAATCCGCGTAGGAGGACGTCTGCATTTGACTCTTATCGTCTTCGCATCTCAGTACCATGACAGAGAGTCGAGCCTCTGCTACTCCTGCCATTTTCGGTGGCGCGAACTTTCCGAACCGGCTCTAACTTACTGTTTCTGGAGCACAGCCCGCAGCCTGTCATGTTATCGTCCTGCTCAAAGTTTTCGAGTCCTTCTGTTTGTGATACCCACAATGACTGCTTCACTTCAAAAGCACAGAAATTGTTTCGTGCCTCCAGTCAAGTCGGCAAGCGAGTGCGTTTCGCCAGTTGTGTGTCTGTGAACTCTCTCTGTTCCTCATCTTCTACTTATTCTGCCTCGCGCACTCTTCTATCCAGTCAACAGGATCTAAATGTTCCGACCGACTGTCATTACTCTACTCCCAAATACATCCGTCACGCTTACTCTTTGGCTGCTACCCCTGACAAACTTGTGTCGGATGATATTCACCCCACCCCTAGAGCGAGCCTGACACACACGTCGCCCAGTCTCAACTACGTCCCTGAATTAGACGCTCAATTGGCGCTCATTGAGAAGCTGCGCTCAGAAATTGTTGCCTCGGAAAGTAGAATTGCAGTCTCGTATGATGCTCACCGTCCGGTAGTTATTCCAGCTTTCAGTACCCAAGAGCCTTCGAACAGGAAGTTGCTACCACAACCTGTAATCTCTCTTGTGATTAAAAACCTGTTTAACCCTTCCATTTCTCAATTTCGCATTCGAGCTCTTTCCCCTTGCCTTTACAGCACTCCAGACCCCTAAGTGCCGATCTCGATTCCCGATTCTCGGCGGCGTCAGCGTGTAATGTACGTCAATCCCCCACCGCCGAGACCGGCCGTCCGGCTGAGAAGGTGAGCGTCTGTGTGGGTGGCTGTCCCGTGGAGGTCACTGACACTGCGGTTTCACCGCGGTCGACCACCAGTGTAAGCCTCTCAGCCAGTTTCGATTCGGACAGCTGCTCTTACGAAGGCGAGGACGTAGGGCCGACTACGGAAACTACGGTCACTACAAGAACACTTTCTGCGGCGATGGGACTCATCACAACCCAGACA